GAATACTCCCAAACTCATTCTATGAAGCCAGCATAACCCTGATACCAAAACCAGGTAAAGACACCACAAAAAAGGAAAATTACAGACCTGTATCCCTCATGAACATTGATGCAAAAATCCTCAACAAAATTCTAGCCAATGGAATTCAGCAACATATCAAAAACATAATTCAGCTTTTTCGCAACAGGTTTGCCGCCAGAACACAGGTGTTGGTGAAAACTATCGCAGAGTCTAAGCCAAAATGAGAAAGGAAAAGACCCATATCAACATTGTTGTCATTGGACACGTAGATTCAGGCAAGTCTACCACTACTGTTCACCTGATCTACAAATGTGGAGGGATCGACAAAAGAACCATTGAAAAATATGAGAAGGAAGCTGCTGAGATGGGAAAGGGCTCCTTCAAGTATGCTTGGGTCTTGGATAAACTGAAAGCTGAATGCAAGTGAGGCATCACCATTGATATCTCCCTGTGGAAATCTGAGACCAGCAAGTATTATGTGACCATCATTGATGCCCCAGGACACAGAGACGTCATCAAAAATATGATTACAGGAACATCACATGCTGATTGTGCTGTTCTGATTGTTGCTGCTGATGTTGGTGAATTTGAAGCTGGTATCTCCAAGAATGGGCAGACCTGTGAGCATGCCCTTCTGGTTTACACACTGGGTATGAAACAACTCGTTGGTGTTAACAAAATGGATTCCACTGAGCCACCCTACAGTCTGAAGAGATATGAGGAAGTTGTTAAGGAAGTCGGAACCTACAGTAAGAAAATTGGCTACAACCCTGACACAGTAGCATTTGTGCCCATTTCTGGTTGGAATGGTGACAACATGCTGGAGCCAAGTGCTAACATGCCTTGGTTCGAGGAATAGAAAGTCACCCATACGGATGGCAATGCCAGTGGAACCACGCTGCTTGAAGCTCTGGATTGCATCCTGCCACCAATTCGCCCAACTGATAAGCCCCTGCGTCTGCCTCTCCAGGATGTCCATAAAATTGGTGGTATTGGCACTGTCCCTGTGGGCAGGGTGGAGACTGGTGTCCTCAAGCCTGGGAGGGGGGTCACGTTTGCTCCAGTCAACATCACCACTGAAGTAAAGTCTGTTGAAATGCACCATGAAGCTTTGAGCGAAGCTTTGCCTGGGGACAATGTCAAGAATGTCTCTGTCAAAGATGTTTGTCGTGGCAATGTGGCTGGTGACAGCAAAAATGACCCACCAATGGAAGCAGCTGTCTTTACTGCTCAGGTGATCATCCTGAACCACCCAGGCCAAATCAGTGCTGGCTATGCACCTGTGCTGGATTGTCACACAGCTCACATTGCTTGCAAGTTTGCTGACCTCAAAGAGAAGATTGATCGCTGTTCTGGAAAGAAGCTAGAAGATGGCCCCAAATTCTTGTCTGGTGATGCTGCCATCATTGACATGGTTCCTGGCAAGCCCATGTGTGTTGAGAACGTCTCTGACTACCTCCTCTGGGTCGTCTTGCTGTTCGTGATATGAGACAGACAGTTGCTGTGGGTGTCATCAAGGCAGTGGCAAAAAGGCTGCTGGAGCTGGCAAGGTCACCAAGTCTGCTCAGAAAGCTCAGAAGGCTAAATGAATGTTACCCATAACACCTGCCACCCCAGTCTTAATCAGTGGCGGAAGAACGGTCTGAGAACTGTTTATCTCAATTGG